GATTTCATTTTTTCAATAGGTACTCTTCCATTCTTCAGCTAAGACTTTCAGAGTGGTTTACTTATATTGACTTAGTGTTAAAATAAAGACAAAGCAGCCTTAGTGTAAAGCAAAGAAACCAAAAAAGATCAGAAGTGCCTTTGCAAAAAAATCTTCATGTGATTTCAAAAACACTGCAGGGTCAGCAGACTCATCCTGTTCCATAAGGCGCTTGTACAACATCATCTATCTCCAGTCTACAACACAGTCCTTTCAACAGTTCCAAGAAGGTTCCACACCCATTTGCACTACTCAGGTGACTCCTGATGACACAGATAAACCTCCAGGTGGCCTCAATGACCCTCTAAAAGAATGCAAATGACCAGCTGTCTGCAAGGAGTAGAAATCCTTCCATGCCCCACCATCCAGTCAGAGCTGAAGAAGGATGAGAAGCAAAACGTCTTCAAAGAAAAACAAAGTCCAGTTGCCTCTTTAAAAAGCACCTTTGGGATATTGCTACCAAGATGTTCTTGTATCTCAACTCGATTTTCTTTTCTTTTAAAGTGGAAGTATGCAGTATTTGGACGGAAAATTGGAAAGCCACTCTGTTGCCACTTCTGTAACTCTTCAACCTTAACACACAATTTCCTAGGATTGTATGTCTTCTGGGCAGCCCCAGCAAAAGGAGCAGCTTCTTCAAGGAGCTGCCAACATACAACGAGGATGCCCACGGTATAGTTGAAACACATTTTCCCTTTCACATCCAAATACTGCACAGCTGTACTCTAGGCAAAATTTGAATATTTTAAAGTGATGTTGCTGTCCTTAATTATTGGGAAACCCATAAAGCAGAAAAATACAGGGAAGCTACAGTGGTTTTAGTTGAAAATGGGAAGTACATACAGTATTCAAAAGGAGGGGAAACCGGTATACTATACAAGTACAAGGTATGCTATACAAGGTATAATATACAAGGTGTACTACACAAGTAAGTCCTTGACTTACAACCATCCATTTAATGACAATTTGAAGTTGCAACTCCACTGAAAAAAGTGACTTGTGACAGTTGCTCGCAGTTACAACTGTCACAGCATCTTGTTAGTTAGGCAATCAAACTTCGGGCACTTGGCTGCAACATCCCAAGGTCACATGATAACCATTTGTGATCTTTCCAACTGGCTTCTGATAAGTAAAGTCAATGGAGGAAGCTGGATTCTCTTAATGACCTAGGATCCACTTAGCATAGATCCGCTTAACAATTTCCATTGCTTAGCAATGGAAATTGTGGTCATAAATTAAGGATTACCTGTACTGTATGTAACTTCAGTTATATTTTCACAGTGAATTCCAGTGTGGTTGGCATCTCTTCAATTACGTGACGATAGTCTTAATGATCCATAATGTTCTTTACAGTTAATGAACCCATCATGCACACACAAATTTCAAAATAAACTCATTCAAATCTGCCCATTTTTCTGTATGAAGATAATATTTAAAAGGAGTGCAACCTCAAGCAGTCATTCATATGTACTTAGTTGGAGTTCAATATTAAGTCAAGTTTCCAACTCACTTGAGAGTTGCTAAATTGCTTTTATATGAGAGCGACTTTATTTTGTCACCAAGGCAATTCTGTGCCGAAACCTCTTAAAATGAATTTGATAGGCAAGTAAACATAGACTTGAGTAATAGAATATATGTTAAGCCTGTTGCCGATCTGTGACCTAATAAAAATTGATCAATTACTAAGCCTGTTCCAGAAGAAGCAAATCGTTATCAAGAAAGTGAAGGAATGTGATACAAAAAATTAAAATCTCTTATGATTGGAAAAAAAATTATAAAACTAAAATTAGTTGACAGGGTTATTTATTGTTGGATTTAATTTGCTGCCACTCAACTCCAAACAACTGAAATATTGATTTTAAAAAATGATAATAAAGTTCTGCACCAATGTGGAGAAAAGGATGCTCAGTAGCAACAAAGTCATTGATCTCTGAAATTCCCTCATATATGCATTGCTTTGAGACTGCAGAACCAAATACTCCATGCATTAGAGTTTGGTTCTGTGATTGAAACAAAATGCCTTTCCTTTTGGAGTTTCATCCTGAGTTCTTCAAGTCAACCGTTCCCAATGGCACTGGTTCTAAAGAATCCAGTACTAAAGAAGCTAGCAAGTGATCAGAATGCTAGCAAATCAAAGAAACTATATCATTCAATAGAATTTGAGAATTCATTAAAAATTGATTCGAGTTTAAAATTTAGGACAGCATATTTAAAAAATAAAACAAAATGAATGCGCATACAATAGTTCCGTTAGCCATCTTTGAGAAGGAGAAAACTGTAATAAAACAAGAATACATCCATGATCAGGAACAAATGACTAGGCATGAACTTTCTTTTGGATTCTGCAACATCACATCTGGTCAGACTTGCCACCCCCTGAATCATGTGTTCCTTTCAGTAAGGGGGCCTTAGCAAGTGGCGGGACCTTTAGCTACCTTTTAGCTTAGCTCTGGTTAGCACTTTAATGAGGGATCAGCTGCAAATTCTGGTACTCTTGGTGTATCTGGAAAAGCGTTGTCAAAAAAAAAGTAGAAAGCAGCAATGGCAAATTGCTTCTGTAGTGCTGCTAAGGGAGCTGCCTACATAAAATCGCCATATGCCAAGCTCAACTTCAGATACCTTAACATAGCAAGAGATCACAATACTTCAAGCTATGGGTTTGGTTACTAATGGTGAGTTTAATTCTTTCTCTGCTCTTTTTCCTTTATCAGAACACATCTATCCCCATTTTGTTTCTAGGAAGAAAAGAAAAGCTTGGCTTAGATAGCTCTCTTCCATGCTTACTTAGCTAAAATAATATATAGGTACAAACAATTTAGAGACTTATCTAACTCCACATAGTTCTGGGGCAGTTTTATTTTTAAGAGCAAGGACAATAAAGTAACACAAAAACATATGCATCCAGAAGGTGACTACACAGAGACAAAATCCACAGAGCCTGGGAGAACAGCCAATTTTGCAATGACTTCTGAACATCATCGGTGGGATCCAAATGGTTGTTTGGGGAATATTATTCCTTAGGGCAGGTGCTCTGCCAGATGTTTCTTGGAAAGCTGTTACTGTTAACTTGGCTTGCTTCACTCAAGAAGGTTTTACAAGGAATCCAGATGATGTTTTCCATTTGCAGTACTGTTTTTCTCACTACTGCCACTGATGTGGGCAAGACTAGTCTGCTACTCAATGGCAAGGTATCAACATCTATAAATTAAGACATGCCTCTCACACAGCTCCATTGTGTTCATTAATCTGAGCATTATCAAAAGCGAACATACTCTTTTCTTCCTTCCTTGTATTTGAGAGCTCTTCCTGAGCTGTTTCAAAACCTGTCTGACCCAAAGGATTTCCTTCCACGGAGAAGCATTTCCATTTTGTTTTAATCACAATCTTCTAGCACAGATACCTTTCTTCAATGAGAGAAAAAAGCATTTGTATCTTTTAGTAAAGTTGGGAGATAATTGGGTTTGTAGACATAATACTTTATCTCAGCTTCTCACTATGATGTATACTAAAAGCCCAAGTTTGAAGATAGGTTTCAATGTCTAGACTAAACCATACCACATCCTTGGCTCTGTTTCAAAAGTATGCAGCTAAATTATGGACATTTCTAGACATACCTAGCTGTTTTCTTTTGAACCTCTCCTGCTGGAAACCAGGGGACACAACTTGATGTCCTGGACTTCTCTGCAGTCCTAAGAGCCCTTCCCTCAGTTGCCATTAAATAGCATTTTTTGCATATTAAGATTATGACTGCATGCAAAGCGGGGAAAAATCATTATTACTTGTCTCTAATTCAAATACTATTTGACTATTAGTTAAAGCTAATGTTCTGACAACTTTCTGAAGTCTGCCCTAGCATAAGTGCAGCCTACAGCCCAGAAAATTTGTGTGCCTTTCTGAAAATCATTGGATATTCTCTCTGGCATCGGCTCCTTGTCTGTATGAAGTCATGGCCAATCAGATGTCATCTTGTTTTGGCAATGAGCCAATCAGATCACAGTAGGATTCAGTCATTGATGTCATGTATTGAAGGTAGAGGATGACATTTGTCAGTGTGTTATGTGATCACTATCAAGTTAATTGGTTTTTTTGTGTTCATTTAGTGAGCTGGTAAAACGTAATAAAATTAAAGTAATGGAGCAAAGAGTTGACTGGTCGCCCAGAAAGCGATGTAAAATAACAATAACAATAGCACTTAGACTTATATACCGCTTCATAGTGCTTTACAGCCCTCTCTAAGTGGTTTACAGAGTCAGCATATTGCCCCCAACAATCTGGACCCTCATTTTACCGACCTCGGAAGGATGGAAGGCTGAGTCAACCTTGAGCCTGGTGAGATTCGATCTGCCAAACTGCTGGCAGCCGGTGATCAGCAGAAGTAGCCTGCAGTACTGCACTCTAACCACTGTGCCACCACGGCACCACGGCTCAAAAAAATAGTATTATTATGTGAACAAGGCTACAGTTATAAAGAAATTAGAAGAAAAATTGGTGGAAACTTAACCAAAGGTGGCATTTCTAAGTTTTTGAAGAGGTATAAGGAGACTCAGTCACTACAAAACCACACTGGTAAAGGCAGGAAAAGGTACACAACAGCAAGCGATGATAGAAGAATTAAGAGACTGTGACTATGTGACAAAAGAAAATCATCTGGGTATATACAAGATGAAATGGTGCAATGCAATTTGAAGTTGAGTGCAAGGACTGTTAGGTGCAGGCTGCAGGAATTTGGCCTAAAATCTAGAATTCCATGAAAAAACCACTTTTAATCTCCCAAAGGTTGAAAAGCATTACATTCTTGATTAAATTATCTTTCCATTGATATATAATTTTATGGTACTACTCCAAAAAAGGTGGTGTTATTAGCAACCAAACCTCAAAAATACACTTTTTCCAAAAGGTTTCCACAATTTTGGCCACTACTGTAGTGATGTGACTTTTTAATTCATCATGATCACAAACCATAAAAACACAATTATGCTTTATTTTGGGGGAGAAGTTCTATTTAGTAAAAGACTCTAAATATTTTTTTCTTTTTTTATATTTTCAAACTACATCATGTGCACCTATACTTAAGATACAGTATTCTTAAACAACTGAGCCCAGTGGACATTGAATTGGGTCAAAGATTTGATTGTCTTGTATACCTTGTGCTTCTCCTTTACCACCAGTTTTAGGCTTTGATACAGAATTTTAGAGGACATGATCCATTTTTTTTTATCACAGTGGTCTATTGTGTGCAGCAGTAACCGAAGCCATATTTTAAAAATACATCAGTTTGTGGTCCCATATTAAACAATCATCTCCTAAATATGTTCATCATGTTTAAATGTTTATTAAGTGACAGACTGAAGTCTTTTTCTTTTTTAAAAAAGCTTTTTACATATTTTTATGTCACTGTTTAACCTTTTGGCATGTTCATAATCATACTGCAAGTAGTATGTAAAAATTTCATTTCCACAAGGCACAATTGAAAAAGCAGTATGACTTAAGCATGAATCCAACTTTAAATACAATGATTTAATGCCCTAAACTTTCATCCTGGTATCTACAGCTTTCAAATTGTTTTGACAAAAATGTACAATCTTCTCCCAACCCACATCTGATATTCACACTAGAGATTCTGTATATACAAACATATTTCTTTGAAGACAATTATACAGCTATTTACATATTATACTACATGTAATTTGATCTTATATTAGAGTACACAATATCTTAATTAAAAAACCCTGTAACACCTTGCTTAGAAGAACTTTTATTTTCAAAACTAATAATGTACTTGACAGTTTTCTACACTGAAATAAAGCTTTGCATACGGTTTGTTAATTTTCTATTTTTTTAAGCCATGCCTTTTCAGCTTGCTTACAGGAAGCAGTGATGTTCCTAAAACACCAAACATGTAACTTTGATTCACCAAAGCCCCCCTCAGCCATTCAATTGTATAGATGGTTGTTCCCAAGTTCACTGCCTGGTGGAGAAGGGTGCAATAAAACTTTAGGTTGACTTCAAATGCTGTTAGTTTTGTTGTAGCCTTTCCCTGTCAGTCTGAGGTTATCCAGGATACCACCATGGATCATGTCATCTTCATGAGTGGCCTTACTTTATCACTGGAAGAAAGCTCAGGACTGCTCTAAGTGTACTTATATGGTTCTATTATTAAACATCTATGATTGGTTATTTTCAGGCAAATGTTCCCATCTGGATTCACTCTGTTTTCTAGAACCTTAGCTTTGGGGGCCAAAAAGCCTATCTGAATACTGGGAAAATGTTGTTTTCCAAAAATGTCTGCCACAGGAGGAGGCTCATGCAGTCACAAGCTTACTGCAATCTTTTATGGAGCACCACCAAATACCCAGCAGACAGAAAAGCACATTTCTGAGGCTGCTCCATCCCTCTAGCTTTTCTTCAGAATAGATGGTGGGTGTTAATACATCAGCAGGTAATCATTTTCTTCCATTAAAACTATGTACTGGGGTGGGGATACCAGCAAGCAGTGGTTGGGGTATCTGCAAATAAACTGGTACCTTTGGATGGTGATGGTAAAGTGGTCCCTGGTGAGCAGCCTAGCAGGGCCCTGTGGAAAAAATGTTTCTGCTATTCACATGACAGGCTAAGAGGGCTATTTCAGATTTTTGGCAAGACATGCAATAGAGCAGTTGCCCCTACCAGGCATAACTCATAACTCAGGCACATCTGATCTAATTCAAGTAAGTATGGCAAGATAGTTAATTTTATACTTGAATGGATGGTATCTTCCTCAACTCCTTTTATATTAGAGTGAACTGAGGGGAAAAAAGTTGTGCTAAATGGATGCTAGGAATACTCTCCAACCCCTTTTTATTATATATAATGTAGCCAGATTTAACTTGCTTGCAACCCTCAACTAAATATTCCTTGTCCACATGGCCGGGCAGTGCCATAACATTCCTGAGGAACAAAGGTGAATCTTGGGCAGTTTTGATGCAGATCTTTTCAGACAGTTCAGACTGAAGTCAACTGTTCTAGGCTGAGTGTCCTGCGTGTCCACATAACACTTGGAACAACTATAGGTAAGTCATTTCAGTTGAAATTCCAGATTTCCCAAATGTCTGAATTTTGATTGAGACACTAAATAACTAGTGGATAGAACAAATGAATTTTGTTAACTTTAAATCAAGGCAATATTACTCAAGTCATAACTTTGGCTACGAGAGTAAATCCTGATTTTCTTTTAAGTATGAGTTTATACTGTTCCACACACCTCCTCCTATCTCTTAAGAAAGGGCAGTGAATCTGAAGTACATGTTTTAAGAAAGCATCTTCTCCACTATACATTCCCATTTGTAAGAAATAAATCTAAATAATGCAGTAGAGTTGCTTAAAACATTTCTAATGTAAAATCACCAATAGAATTTAGTGTTTTAATCCACTTAATTGTCTGATGCAATTCTACTTGTGCTTTAAATATTTAGTGCTACCAGGTTTTAGATCATCTGTCAAGGTAAACAAAGCTTTGCTGTTCAAAATTGAAAGTCTAAAGATGAAACTCTCCAAGTTATTTAATTAGTGACACTGCCCTTCAGAATCTTTCTTGAAAAGTCAACCTATTGAATACAGAATAAAAATTTATAAAACACAGAGGTAATGGGTCCAGGACTTGTATCATAAAGCTAAAATCAAAGGTGACCTCTACATGTTTTCAGTGTTGTATGGCCTAGAATGGTCTTCTATTCCATACCAAGCATTCAGATCCATGTGCCCTAATACATCATTTTCTGCTGTGCCCTGGTGAGTAGGCACCACAATGTCAGAACTATGCACTGGAAGAAGCCAACAATATTCCTTCTCTGCCTTCAAGGCAAGATCTTCTACTTAACCTTCATCATCCAGGCTTAATTTGTTATCAGAGAAGTAATAAAGGGTGATTTATGTACAATGTGATTACTGAAAAGTAGCACTAGATTAATATTTCCTTTTTTGGGTATGACATTCAGAAGATGACTGAAGGCAAGTTCAATGTAGTTAACAGGGCTGCTGCAAATTAATCCAGGTTGGGATCTTCTCAGGAACAAAAGAAGATATATAAATCCCGCAAGCACCTAAAAGTCCCTAATTTACCTATGGAAAAGCTCCTTCAGAGTCAGCCACTTGCCTGATTTGGCAACATTTCTAGCTCAGAAAGCAGCACCTAGGCCCCAATTATGTTAGTCTTTAGGATTTCAGTTCTTTCATTCAAGTAATCCTCAAAAACCTTGTAATTATTTTATCAGTGATTATTCGGGTTATATTAAAGATCTTTTATATTATTTAATGAAATAAGAGCCATAAAGATGCAGAAAGGAAAAAACAAAACAAAATAAAAAGATTGTATAAGCTTCTGTGGTTTAGAATTCATCATGCAAATGAAAAGGGATACTTGGTTGTAAGCATAAAGTCCACCAAGCTTAAACTGCATCTGTGGGAGAGCATCTGATGAGGTGGATTCAAGTTCACAAATAAGCTCCGTGGTCTTTATAGTATCACAAAACTGAGAAAATGCAGGTCTCCTCTTCTGGGCAGTTGATTCAAGGGAAGAGTTACAGCTTGCAGTTGGAAAAGCCAGCTGGATTAGTTCATATAGTATGTGCAGAACTGACCAACTGTAGAACCGTGAACAAAGACAATCAATATTCTGCCCCAGTTTACCTTTTATAGAACAGGAGGAATAAGGCAAAGTATTGCTAACTCCAATCCAGCCCCCAATTTCTGTGGCCAAGTTTCTGCAACCTCCTGGTCAAACCTCCATTCAGGCTCCTTCTACTTTAGGTGTGTGTGGAACATCTGACTCTCAGTACCCTAACCATCTGCTCCAAGAACCAATTGTGACCCTTTCAAGTGGCCTACTTGCTTTCCGGTAACTATGGCCGGAATGCACGTGAGGTCTTCCTAGGAAACAAAAGCCAGATTCTTCATCCTGGCAGCCCCCACCCTATATAAGCCCGACAGCAAAGAGACATTCTGCTGCTGAGACATTCCCTAGACCTTAGGAAAGAGAGGTCCTGGTAAGGCCCATAGATACCTTTCTCTCCTCTGCGCACAAGACAAGTGCACTGGCCTCAGAGATGGAAGGCCACCACCCATGTTAGCTTACTGGGACAAAAACTCTTGGGAAAACAACAGAGCTTCTTGGAAGGTCTCGGTGAAAACTTTAAAGTGCAAGGTGATAAAGCAATAAAGTAGTATAATAAAGCAAAGCTACTTCACCAAAGAAACATTTAGAAATGTTTAGAAAGAGAATCTAAGATTCTTGGAAATCTAAGAATTTCTAAGGGGATGTTTTTAATCTTTTTCTCAAGAACTGGGAATATTAATCAGTCCATGTCAAGCATTTCTAGCAATATATATATGTCTACTCAGATGTAAGTCTCACTGAATTCAATTACATTTATCTCGGTGGTCAACTTGCTTAAAAACATAGCCTCAATGAGCAGGGAAAGAATGAAATTTGTGAAGAGTTAAGTCAAATCACAGGCATGTAAGGTATAAACCATCCTTAGAAATAATGGCCTTTAAAAAGAAAGTAAACCCTTGCAATCTACTTTCCAGGGACATGCAATATACCCCCTGTAGTGTATATTTAAATCGCTAACATTTGGAAATGGGACTTTTCTCCCCACTGATTATGGCTACTGCTACGTTAGTAAGAGACGGCAACTTCAGGTGGTTTACAAACCGCTTAAGGATATGATGACCACTCTCTGGAAGATGAGATCCAAGCGATCAATCTTCACAGAGGAACCAGTATTCTTGCTTTCTATGAGTGGAGTCGGGAAGGGATGGAAAACTGCCCTCTGTCCCTGCCTGAGAGCCAAATGCCAAACATTAACTTGAACAGCCAAGAACTTCGCATCAATTCAATCTGTGATAGACAACAAATGGAAATATCTGCCCTGTCTTAAGGCTGCCCTGCTGCCAATTAACAGACCACTAATTCCCACTGCACTCTGCAAAACATCAAGCAAGCTGCATCTCTCCTGCCAGATGTTGCTTCTGTTAAGCGTGAATAAGCTTTCATTCATAAGATTTTACACTGCATATATTGCTCTATATCAACTCCAAAAGAAAGCAGGTTTGCTATTATCATTTGGAAATCAGCGGCACAGGAGAGACTCACTTCCCTGTCTTAGGTGACTATCTGGCAAAGATCTGTGTAAAAAAGGACGAGGGTAGATTTAACACCAGCCCTAACTAAAATGTGAAACTGGATTCTGCGGAGTCCTACAGTCACAACTGGTCACCTTAAAGTAATCCTTCCCCTTCAAACTGATTCTATTTGTTTTTAATATGAATCGGTAGCTTCAATAGAGATATAACTACATTACTAGCGGTAGAATGTAGTAGATGAACAATGACTGATTTTGGGAACATTTATCAAACTGGCAGGTGCCTACTAAGAGTCAAATATTGTGGAGTCCTATGTTCTCCCTCTTATGGTTAAATTCCATGAAAGCTATAAGATTTACTTCTGAGTAAACATGTACGTGCCTGCACTGTTTGCTTGCTGAAAAGGATAGTTGCCAAACAGAAATTTAGGAACTGTTTAAGCTTTAGATTTCTTGTTATTTGTAATCTGCTCAATTTACACATTCTGTAAATCCTGTACTCTGTCTTGCAATCTCCATGGATTTTTTTTTCATTATCAACAAGCAAACTCTTGTCCAGAGATGGATTTGCCCAATTCCTATCATATATAGTTAACCCTAACCCTAAATCTAAACATGCCTTGCACAAGGGCACAGTGGCTTTCTACCAACTCTGTAGTCAATCTTTGGCCAGATCTTCTCCCTCCCCTCCCTTTTCTTAGACCAGAGGCAAACCTGGGAGGCCCACAATGAACAAAACTCCAGAAAGGCCCCAGATGGGCCCTAGGATGAATAGTGCTTACCTGCCCCCCTACTGACCAAGCCAGATGCTTTTTCACACATGGGACAGGGGAACCTGTTTGTGGTAGGAAGCAGAAGTGGCAAGCCCAGTCCGGCCTGTCAGCGCTACGTTGGCCTCACTGTACATGGTGGCGCTCACGGGCTTCCCTCCCCTGCAGCATCGACCTGTGAACTGCTTCCAAGACTCCAGTGTCTTGCCTGACCAAATCCAGACCCCAGAGGTGATGCCCACCACCAGGCACATGAAGTACTTGAGCATAAAAACAGCATAGTCAGGCTTCGGTCTGGACTTGTCCCCCGGGCAAGAGCAATTCTGAGCCATCTCCCATTTCTCCCTGTAGTGCTGCTCGTAGATGTAGCAAGCCACCACAATGGTAGCTGGGACAGTGTAAAGAACGGTGAAGATCCCAATACGAATCATCAGCTTCTCCAGCTTGTCCGTCTTTGTGCCCCCTTGTTTAATCACATTCCGAATTCGGAAGAGGGATACAAAACCAGCCAGCAGAAACATGGTCCCGGTGAAAAGGTACACCACCAACGGAGCGAGGACAAAACCCCGCAGCTTGTCCACATTCTGATTACCCACATAGCAGATCCCAGCTACTGGGTCCCCATCGACTGAGCTTAGGGCCAAAACAGTAATGGATTTTACACTTGGAAGAAGCCAGGCTGCCATGTGAAAATACTGGGAGTAGCTAGCAATGGCTTCATTCCCCCACTTCATCCCAGCTGCCAGAAACCAAGTAAGAGACAAGATGACCCACCAGATGGAGCTTGCCATGCCAAAGAAATAGATCAGGAGGAACACCACAGTGCAGAGGGCAGGTCCTGTGGTTTCATAGTGTATGTGGTTGTAATCTTTGTTGCAGGCCACATTAGCATGGCCCACAATCAGCCGGATGATGTAGCCAATGGATACAAAGAGATAACAGGCTGATAAAAAGATGATGGGACGCTCGGGGTACCTGAACCTTTCCATGTCGATCAGAAAGGTGGCCACTGTGGTGAAAGTGGAGATGAAACAAAGGACGGACCACAAGCCAATCCAGAAGGTAGCAAAAGTTTTTTCATCTTGGGTAAAATACGGCTGGAAGCAAGGAATTGCGCAATTGCGCACATGGCCAGTCTCGATCTTGTTGTAGAGCGGGTGAGTTTCTTGGGAGATGAAGACTAAGGGCTCTTTGCAGGCGCATATTCTCTTGCAGTCACTACTGGTTAGAGGGGTGAGATTTTTGTGGATCCCTTTGGAAGAGCGGGTGGGCTTGGTAAACAACGGGGGCAAGGTTGTGGCTTCCGTCTGGTTGTGATCCATGCACAGCATCTCCGTGTCTCCTGGAACGGGCAGCTTATCACAGTTCATCCTTTCCGGCCAGGCAAAGCCGTACTGCCTCATCAAAGGAGAGCACCCAGCTTTGGCCCTCTCACACACTGACCGGCAGGGCGGCAGAGGCTTGGCATAGTCCAGCAGGCAGATGGGAGTGTACATGCTGCACAGGAAAAATTTCAGATCCAGAGAGCACTGAATCTCCACCAGGGGCCAGAACTGGTGCACTTCCAGGCCAGCTTCATCTTGGGTATCGTGGTTGAACTGGTTCGGCATGTAGGTCAGGTTGTAGCCAATGCCTTTGCACATGGGCACGGTGATCTCCTGGCAGACGATGGCCTTGGATGCAGCCGGAGTAGGAACGGGAGCCTTCAGCACGAACAGCAGAAGGCTCAGCAAGGCGTCTCTCAGGCCAGGGCGAAACCCGGCCATGGCAAGGCGCAGGGGCCGCGCCAAGCAGAGGGCGCGGATCAAGTCTCCCTCCTCGCCTCCTCCCGGGCGGCCGCTGCCTTCGCTTTAACCCCTCCGGCTGACTCCAAAGCGGGAGGCGCTGGGCTCACAGGTGGCGCGGTCCTGGAGAAAGTCCAAGGGCCTCCCGACCGGCCTTCTTTTCCCTCCCAAGGAGCCCAAGTCTTCCCATGGCAAGAGCGGTTGCTGCCAATTCCGCGGAGGATTCGCTGCTCCAGCAAGACAGGTGCGTGCGGGGGATAAAACCCGACAAAACAAAAAACAGGCGAACTCCATAACAAGCCAGCCTGGAGGGCCCCGCTCCTTCGCTCTCCGCTTGGAAGTTCAGCGCAGAGAGCAAGGCTGGATCCCACACCTCAGCGGGAAAAGTTTCGCCTTAATTTCGCCCTCGGCAGAATATCAGAAGTCCTTTCCGAAAGATCCCGCGCGGCGGAGAGCAGGCTTGTCTCGGGCCCGGCCGAGGGCAGGAAGGGCAGCCGGCGCGCGTCCTCCTGCTCCGGCTCCTTTCGCGTTCCCGAGAGGAAAATTGGTCAGCGGGATCCCGCGCCGGGTGGCGCGCCGTGGAGCCGGCTGGCCGGCCACGCCGCAGAAGCGGCGGCGCGGAGAAGGCGCGGGCTCCCCATGCTTCGGTCGCACCCCGAGTTAAACCCCCGACGGGCTCCTGCCGTCTCTCGAGTCCGGGGACGTCTTCCGTGAAGCCGCCAGTCCCTGAGATTTTTCGGGGCGCCCCACTGGCGAAGAAGGGGGCGCCCAAGCCGCGATCAACGCCTCCCGTTCTCCTCAACGCACGGAACCAGCGAAGCGCCACCGCAGGCGACTGCAGCTCCCAGCCGGAGCCACCTGCGCTCTAATGCCCGGCCCGCGAGACCGCCTCCCGGATACGCCCCCCGGGCTGGGCCGCCCCCTCGCCTTCCCCGAGGGAGGAAGTTGCAGCCTAGGGAGCCCCGGGGAAGACGGTGCGCCGAAGGCTTCCTAGGCCGGCGGGGTAGAATGAACTTTTGGAATTCGCAGCCACTGGAGGTTTGAGAAGTTGCGCTTAAACACGTTTATGGCAAGCAAGTCTGCAGCTGATCGCCATAATGAAGGCTCCACGTGCAGATACCGTCTCTCAGCTGCGGGAGACTCGAGTTGAGCTTTCCTCCCGCGACTGGAGGCCGGATTCTTTTGCAAATGCCGATCGGCCAGTTAGGTTAATTGAACCAAACTGTGATTGGGATATTATAGTTTATTTTTAACTTTAAAGAGTAATGTGTGAATGCGAGGCCCTATTAAAAAGCCAATTGAACGATATCACGGGATCTGTTAGCACAGCACCCTGTTCTTTCAAACGGCCAATGTTCTCAAGAAATCCACACGCAGTTCATTGTCCTGCTTCGTCCCTGAAAGTGGTCCTGGGCAGCCGGCATGGTTTCCCTCTCGGTGAGCCTGGAGGTTTTCCAGCCATCCAGGGAACTGCCCTGTGTGGCTTTACCTCATCCCCCTTATAGAGTCCCTTAAAACTCCTTACAGCCTCATATGCTCCCAATTAATGACGTGAAGTATGAACAAGTCCTTTCTATGTTGCCCTGAATCTATTGGTCATCTGTCCACTGAATTAAAAGGAACTGAAGAAGCAACCATACTTTTTCTCTCTTCCCTTTTTTAAAGTTTGCCTATAATTTCAGAAGATCTGCTAAATATGTGCACCTTTTATAGACACTGGTTGATTTAAAGAATGTTTATACATCTCATTTCCAGTGTACAATTGGCTTTGTCCATATGCTGGAAACAGTGGAATAAATATGAGATTAATTGAAATAGTCAAAATTGTGAACATCCAGAGAGCAAACCAGGCCAGTTGGTAATAGTGCTGTTGTAGGGATTATTTGCTCACTTCCAAATTTCCATCCAGTGTCTCCTAAATGAGTTGATATCCAGTGAGAATTGTAGGTTAGCATAGCTGGTGCGCTGCATGCCAAGTTGGGAGGCTGCCATGGGAACAGGTGTGCATGCATGAATGTGCCTAGGTGTGCATGTGTGTACATGTGTGTGTGTACACATAATTTTAGGGTTTTCTGTGTGTTTTTAGTATCTTTGTTGACTCTTGACAAAACTGCTTGATTTTGTTTCTAAGGTGGGATTAGAACTTGGGCTCTTGGTTTCTAGCCTGATGCCTTAACCACACCAAACTGGCTCTCTTATCATTTCACTACTTTTCTTTACTTATGTCATAAATGCAACAAAGTGGGCCATGGGCGGTTGGGATAACCTAGTAGACTGCCAGTTTCCCCCTACAAGTTATTTAAAAACAGCACTGATTAAAATGGTCATCCTGCCCATTCCTGATCAGGGTGCTGAGTTCAAGAGAACCAGTAGTATATATCTGTGCAAAAAAATCTGGATTCATGATCATGGGCTCCTTCAGTTCAAGTTTCCCAAATGCTCAGTGGAACACATACCTACTTCTCAAAGACAATTGACCCAAAATAGGAACTGAGGTCTGCCTTCTCTTTGTTATGTTACCCATTGTTGTTACCCATTGAGCTGCTATTGCAGTTCTCAGATTTTATTTTGCATGTACCTGAAGCTCATTCTGTTCTTTATGCCCTTTGTGAATCTCAACTCATTCTTTTGATTTCCTGAAACCATCTATGCAAATCTAGTTTACCATTATGTATGTGTTTTTTCATTGTCAGTTTTTTTTTTATCGAACTTTTTCTGCAGCTTGCTAGCTGAACTCTAGCACTTTCCTTGAGGAACCAGAGATTTATAAAGGTAAGGTACAATAGGCACAGCTGCACCATAGTGGGATTTCTCCTTTATTAGTGAATTAAAAGTATGCAAGCTTTTGAGGCAAGATGGTAAACAGAGTCACTCTGAGAGAGATGGGTGGTATACAAATTTGATAAAAGTTACAGACAATATTCTAACAGCATTGAACTATCTTTCCTTAAGGCATATAATTAACAGAATTCAGAGCTGCAGTATAGATTGCTCTATCTTGAATTGTACACACATTGTGGATGACTTACTGAGTTTCTGATTCTTCTCACTCTTCATATAAAGTTACTTATTGACTCGGGCTTAAAAGTCCTTTGCCCTGCAGCAATGAACGTTAGTGTTGGGATAGTAGAAAAGAGTAAACATTCTGCACCACTACTGGCACTGAAGCATCCAGTAACTTCAGTAAAAAGTGCCAGGGATATGGCTTAGCTGCCACAGAACCTTTGGGGTAGAAGTGCAAAACCCCAAACCTCTCCTGAAATGGGTCATTCATCCGGAGGCAACCAGAGATGCAACCAGTATGGCATGGCCAGGATTTTGCTTTTTAAAATAGCATAATACACACCTCATGTAATTACATTTGTAAAATTATGTGTAACCAATTTTCCAGTTTTGAAAATGGCCACTTAAGCAGTAAGCACCTGTCCCTTACCTGATGCCTTCTATTACTCAAATAATTCATAGTCAGAAGGACCAAATGTGGGATTGGGTCATGGTGATTGTATTTCTTTGCTTAAGGGATTTTACTCGTTATAAAAAAAAATTATAATACATTTGTATACATTATAATATAATGGGCTCTAATGTAACCTCTATCAACTCTGCTATTAAGACAATACTTAGTCCGGACTACCTTCCTTCCTTCACCAGCAATATTGAAATTTTAATATAAGCACTTCACCTGTTGGATTAATTCCACAAACTATGTTGGTTGTTAGGCAGACTTTTTCAAGCTGGTACTTTCCAAGTATATTGTGCTACAGTGCTCACCATGCATGCTGGCTGGGGATGATGGGAATTATAGTTAATATACCTGGAGAGTATGAGCATAGAGGCCAGTTCAACATTTTTTCAAGAAAATTCTCTGGTTGCCAATGCCTTGATGGCACAACCCCCCCCCCAAAAAAAACAAAAAAAACTGATGCTGACTTTTTCAAATCTACTCTTTCCATCCATGGTATTTCGGATTTCCAAGCTGTTAGATTTTGCAAAGTACTTTCACTGATGATAATGGAATCATCTCATTTTCCCACCCCAAAGGAAACTATCACACAACATACCCAGATTAAAAAAAGGAACATGACAAAAGCTGAGCAGATTTCTGAATTCTGTAGCAAATCCTATGACTCCAAAACAGAAGGAAATGCCCATCCTAATTTGCCCCTGGTTGGTAAGCAGCCAGAGAAACTTAAGTTTACATTACTTTGCTTTTCATAACCATCTTTGGAAGCTGGTCTATAAGCCACAAGGGAAACATTGCTGTAGATTTCTTTGCTATAAAGAGATCTCTTGTGGCCTGCTTTGGCGAAGGTAGCTCTTGAGCCTGTTTTTGGTAAGGACTCTAATTTGCTTTATATTTAATTAGCTCAAGACATTTTGGCTCATTGTACAAAAATCAGTTCATAAAATGGGCTAGTGTCCCTTCTTTTACTGCCTCCCTATCCACCAGCTCAAGGCAGGCTTCTCTGCTCTGGGCCTTGTTTTCTGCCTCCCACATCGCAGCCCAAGGACCTGGCAGAAGATGGATGCAGGCATTCCACTTTTACAGATGGAAGAAGCTAGGAAAAGTCTACAGCTATCCTGACCTGAAGCTCCCCAGATTTAATGACTTGGGCATTTGGAAAAAAATAGTATTAACACTGAAAAACCCAACTCAATATAATATTTGTAAACTGGATGATTTTCAAAGGCAAGCAGGTTCATGAGATTTAAAGTTAAATGACTCCTTTGACTGATGGCTAATGTAATTATGCTCCAGATACTTAATCTTGTTTTCCTTTTCACAGTAATAAAAAGCTTGATGGCAAAGTCTGGAGGGGCTGCACCCAATATTTTCAAGGAATTGTAGGTTGTACGTTCCTCCTCAAAAGATAAAGTGACCAGAGACAGAAGAGGGAAGGTCAGAAATTTTGATATATCCTGCAAGCTCTTTTGTTCTTAGAGACAAAGGACTTGTTTTTTAAGGGCCCACATTCTTCTGAAAAGTCAAAGCAAGGATTGGCTGCTTACTACATGCTTTGCCTCAAACACTAAACCTGTTTTTTTTCCCATAAACATCTCAGTGAAAAAAATGTGTGTGTGGGGGGGAAGAATCCCTTCCTGGCAAGTGCCTTTACCAGACCTAAGCTATTGAACAAAAATTGTTCCTATGTTCATATTAAGGCAGTCTCTTTATTGGGTGAATTTAAAGTCACAAAATAATGTACAAGCTTCTGGGTACTCAAAACCTGTTCATTGGGCAGGCTGTTAAAATAAACTTTTTATGTTGGTGGAGAAGATTTATAGCAAATCTGCATTTTAAAAGTTGTTTTACATAGTAATGTGAGGGGATGAACACTTGATCTCAGGGTGGCAAGAAACTCTGTTCTTCTAGTCTAAGTTCAGGATTTTTGAACTTTCAGGTATCTTAAAAGCTCCCTTGGCCATAAGAAAAAAAGGAAACCCATATCAAAGGATTATTTTTATTAAGCCAGTGTGTCACAATAGAGGGCATTTTACTATTTGTTTGTTTCTAAAAAGCAGTGTTTCTTTAAGCAAGATAACAAAGAGATGGGAACAAGAACTCTCACTTTGTGCAGTTGTGGTTTGAAAATCAGTTTTATTCTCCTTACTCATCTTAGCTCGTCTGTGGATATGCCTTAAGAATTCAACACTTTGCACATTATCTTGGGACTGTGAGTGCACAAACCATTAACTACAAAATGCTACCCAAGAATATAAGGATGAACACTGTACAAGAAAAAAACAAACACAACACATTCTCTAGTCTTCACAATATATTAATACAGTTAATACAAGAAGCACCGATATAAATATATCCAGCGTAG